ATTATTCTGTATGAAGTTTTCCTGATAATATTCTGTATGAATTCCTGATAATATTCTGTTTTCCTGATAATATTCTTCTTCTGTATTCTGTATGATATTCTGTATGAAGTTTCCTGATATGACAAAAATAGCGGTATTATTGCAGATTAACTACATCCAAAAAAAAGGGTGTTTTTTTTTTTTAATTATTTGTTTTTTGGGGTGTAGATTACGAATCTGAAATCCATTTTTGGCGGTCGGCATCGGAAAACCGATTTTTTGCAATAATACCGATCACACGTAGCGCACGACATCTTGAATGAAACTTACCCGTTGCACTGCAACGGGTAACGAAGACGAAAATGTTACCCGTTGCACTGCAACGGGTAAAGAAGACGAAAATGTTGCCCGTTGCACTGCAACGGGTAACATTTTCGTCTTCTTTGTCCATAAATCTGGAGATACATTGCCACATCGAGAGATCACAACCTAACGCCAACTCGCAGGTTGGGTTGGTTCGCCCAGGTTCCTTTTAGATCAAAATGCTATCTAAAAAAAGGAACTTGGCTGACTTAACCCAACCTAAGAGCTTTTTGTAAAATTTCGATGAACAATCCGACCCTTTATATAAAGGTGAGTGGGTAACGTAAGTTACGTAACCCCCATGTTAGTAAATAAAGGTGAGTGGGTAACGTAAGTTACGTAACCCCCATGTTAGTAAGTCGCGAAAAAAATTGGTTTTCCGATGCCGACCGCCAAAAATGGATTTCAGATTCGTAATCTACACCCCAAAAAACATATAATTAAAAAAAAAACACCCTTTTTTTTGGATGTAGTTAATCTGCAATAATACCAAAATAGCTATCACTGTTCATTCAAAAATTAGAAACAAAAAAATTTATACATAGTTTTATCCAGGCTTCCAGCTTCAATGCCCAGATGTACTTTCAAATCCACAATCGTTCATGGCACCTTGGCTTGAGCCCAACTGAATTTCCAAATCCACTTGATAAATACCAATAGCTGAACAGGAGTTAGTGAAATGTCACCTCAATTAGTCAATAGGTATCTGATGTAGGCTTACTAAGTTACTAGGCTATGCAATTAAATACTTAGGTATACAGTACTTCATTTATCAGTGAATATACGCAATTTTTTTTAACATTTTCTCGCCTCAACGTCACCTGGTTTATCTTCCATTGTGCATCAAATTAGGGACAGTTAGTAACTGTCCCTAACAAAATTGTATCTGTAACTGAGTTACAGATGCAGTGTCGCACACCGCAACCGAATAGAATTTCATGTATGGCGGCGAATAAATCTTTCGCCCAAAGCATAAACAATTCAAATCCAGGACCTCGGAACTGTACTGAACATGACTAATTACAAACCTTAAAGATCTTAGGTCTATTTATAACTGATACGATAACAGAACTAACTTGTCAAAAAAACCATGGGCCTATTTCTTCAACGCCGACACTTCTATTCTATATCAGAACGTCACGGAAGTTGGCGGGCAACTGATGAGTGACGAACGAATGTAAACAAACCGCTCATTCACTTGTTGAGCCTTGCATAGCAGTGTACTCTGAAGGTCAGATGGGCTGCTGAGCCAAGAGTGCGAAATATTTCCAATACAGGTGTTTTTTTGAAAGGCGACTTGAAAGTCCAATTTGGCGGTAAAGGGTTAACTAGGCAGGCGACAGAATTTTATCAGGAGGGTATTCAAAAACTGGTGCCACGTTAAAACTGGTAAAAATAAAATTATTACGATATCTTTGCACGTCTTTTTTTTAATTCCAAAACGGTACTGACTTGAAAAACATGCCTCATATATTGCTATTGAAGGAATAATAAAACACGTTAATCAAGAGCATCCATTTCTATGGAGGAATAAGCACCAAGATTCTTCGATGAAGTTGAATACCGATCCGGACGCTAAGCATTTAACCTTGCAGTGCACATCCCGTGATTGCTGAACCGTGGCAATCAAAACTACAAGCGAAATCGTATATTCACGAAGTACACATAAGGCAGGTAGTTCGGGACAAATCGGATTCGAAAATTTTGGAGGATTCATGTACGATAGATGGACTGGTAAAATGCATGGTTGAACTAATATTAGTTCAACCATGTGTAAAATGGTCGTAATGGAATATAAACCAAATTTCTCCAAAAATTTACCGGCACAGCAATACTCATATGAATGCGATATCCATGAAAACCTTATAAATAAAAGACGGGTAGCTCGTTAAAATTTATTTTAGGCTATGCAGTTAATTTGAATCAAAGAACAAGTCGACAGAATTGAAAAAAAAGTATACAAGAAAAAGCTCATTTAATAGCTGAACGTCAGTTCAAAAGGTAATATCATAATGCCTAAGGAATGCATAAGTAAATAGGGACAATGCCAAGTCAGGCTGGGGAGTGCCATGCATTCAACAAACATTTAACTGCAATTTATAATCAAATGACACAAAGAATATAACAAGTACACGGAAATCGGTTAAAAAACCATAACAAAAAAGCATGCATAATCATTAAAACTGAAGGACGGAACATTTTCATTCATCACAAATACACTAAATAAATACAGAAATTTGTGATCGCCGTACGCCGGGAATAAAACTCGACGCGGTCATGCTGGGGTCACAGAGACTCGCGTAACGTCGAAGTGTGACCCGTTGCGAATGAGACATATGGGGCATCAACAAAATGCGGTCTACTTTACGAATTTCTATGGCGGTCTGTAACAGACGTTCACGATGTCTGAAGAACGTCGCGAACTTGTGTAACATTCATCCGAGAATTAATGAGAACCGATTTTACATTTTTAACACATATTCTAAGTAGGGAACATGAAGATGAATGAATATATAGCAAAGTGACGATCAACAAAGTTAAACATTTTAAAGATTCATCATTTGTGGATTTTAAGATTCTTTGGACCGTCATACGTTACATCAAGACTATCATAAAACCAGATGATACTCTCACCATGTAAAAAACTGCCCTACTGGCGGAGTCTTTTTTCCAATACGATAACAGAACTAAATTGTCAAAGGTAACATGACTATCAACATAGAATCGGAAATTTCACAAATTACAACCGAATAGAATTTCATGTATGGCGGCGAATAAATCTTTCGCCCAAAGCATAAACAATTCAAATCCAGGACCTCGGAACTGCACTGAACAGGACTAAGTACAAACCTTAAAGATCTTAGGTCTATTTATAACTTAGAACTAAACTACAGTACGTATTTACAATGTGCTACGCTTTGGCAACAAGCGCTAACCGCAAACTCGGACGCTTCGAGACGCGCTGGAATCTCAAAAATTGCACTTTTGTACGAACGGGGGACGCGTAGGACTACCTGGCTTATTTAAATTGTTTGCTGCAGCCATCTTCTTAAAAACTGGACGTATATTTCAACACAGAATTTAAAACTATCATGTATAGGAGCCGGACAGACACAACACCGTCACTAGCATTAGAATATTGCTAGTGGCAAATTGATTAAATAATTAGAATATTAATATTGGTGCATTGAAAATGTTCAAATGATAGGTAAAAAGAAAATCTGTTAGAACTCAAGGTTGCAGGATGCGAGGTTGCAAGATGCAGGATGCGAGGTTTCCTTGATACTGTGTGAAAATACTACAATATTATCGATAATTAAATTCAGAAACTTGTATAACGTTGCTGCGTAAGCCTCAACAAAAAATTGTTCGGATAAAAAATGTTCACTAAATAGGAGGTTAACAAACAATCAAAGCAAGATTTCATCAGAAATAAATATTTCACATGTTCCAAACCGAAACCCTTCTATTGAACATCCTTTCATGGCATGAGAGTGCTAAGTGCACAAGATCACACACGTGGTTTGGAAACAAATTTTGAAGAAGTTTAGATAAAGCTTGTCGTGATTATGTTCATCCATTATGTTACATTGTTATTTCATGTGTCAAGATTCAACACGAGAAGGCTTAAAAAAATAGGAGAAATATGCTTCTTGTTCGTTACGAAAGCTGAGGCGTTTCTTCGGTCGTCAAATTCATTACAAAATAATATGTTTAGCAGCACCAAGAGATCAGAGACGCATTTTTATTTCGGCGTAAATACACGAAATTTAAGTAGAGAATTGTATGCTATAGTATGCCAATATATAAACATAAAAAGAGCCGAAGCACCGAAACAACAGGGGGAGACTAGATACGGACGGATCGTTTGGAATTTCAAATTATAACGTAATATAAGTGGAAATACAATTAGTATCACTAGAAGTAAAAAATTAGGTTAGAGGGACAACCAACTTCTCCAACTTAGATTTTAACATATTTCAACTTATACTGTAAATTATTCTTAAAGCTTACACTAAGGTAGACAACTTTTTTAGAAAAGTTTTTGTTAGGCAATGTAGAAAACATGAAGCATACGCTTCCTCGCAATGCATTTAATTACCACGGACGTAAGCAGATCTTCATTGAGACTCAGTCACACAGATAATTTGTCCAATAATTAATCTACATAAGAGTGATTATTACTAAAGTTCAGGAGCGGATTAACGCAACGTAACACAACACAAGGCAGCAAAGACTGGCCGGTAAGATTTTTCGATGGTTCAGATCCGAGCAGCAAACAGATCCAGTGAGCTTCCCTCTAAATTTTACACAAGCAATTCTAGTTAACAATCGACAATGGAATGCAACAGAACCTAAACCTGATATTGCATTAAAAAACCGTTTTGAATTTTATCTAAATTCAGTCTAAAACATAAAGCAAGGTTTGATTATTCAAAGTTTAAAAAATAAGTAACTAAATAACATTATAATTAATGAGCTTTGTGAGCGCGTGGGCTGTAGATAGCAGAGATTCATGGGCAAAATGTAAAGCAATACCGCCGCGGGTAGACGCAATTCAAAAGGCATGATAAAAATCACAACATTTTTGCAACACCATTAAATATAAATAAAAAGGGACTTTTCCTTGATGAGAACCAATATGAGAACCAGCTTTTTTAGTCTAGGAACTCAAGGTGAGGAGCATAAAGATGGTACTGGAAACCAGGGTACGTGGCAAATAGCAGATGGCTACCCTCTCCTGACAGCTGGTTTAATGAGCCTTCTAGTTCCGGCAGTTGGGGCCGTTGACTGGGATCCAGCTGCCAGCAGTCCAACATGAGCTGCAACCATAATGTTTTATTAATGAGTATGATAATTTACAACTGAAAAAGTCCCAATATAAGAATCTTGACATCAAAGGGCTAGAGATTATTTTAATAACAAAGTTGAACCCTCTTGCATCAACCTTTAAGGAGCAGCAACAGATAGCTGGATTGCTTTTAAAACTTCGTCAAGTTTCATATGAAAACAAAGTCTCTGATCATTTTGAGACACCGAGATGTTTCGCATTACAGACAGCGATGGCACAGTTAACATGTAATTCAAGAAAAAAGTCAAAAAAGTCATTCAAAATAAAGCATGTCTTTCTCTATTGTCAAACTTGACTCTCAGCAATTCCCATAGCTTTATGCTCAAAGTACAGGGTGGTTTACGGAAAGTTTCTGGTTTTATTTCGCGCCAAGCAGCGAGATGTAGGAAAAGGGCAAGGAGTATTTCATATGAAAGTAAGGTCATATAGTTTCGTGTCCCGTCTAGTCAGTTGCCAGCATGCATTGGACAAGTGAGCAGCGTGCGTGCCGTTAGCTGTCAAGGCGTACTTTTTTAATGGCTGTTCCAATTTTGCTAATCAACAAGCATTCCGTACTCGGTTCCGTATTCGTCCTTCAGGTCGGGATCCTGTTCGAAAATCGATTGTTATGTGGATGAACACACTTAGGGTAAGTGGACGAGTTATTGAGGGAAGTCAGCAAATTGCCACAACACCCGATAACGTAAGAAGACTTAGAGGCGTTTCTGCGTACCTCACACCGTTTATCACGCAAACACGCTGCTATTCTGAGGCTTTCGCATAGCAGTGTGGTTAGAATGGTCCACAAAGAATTGCAATTTCATCCCTTCAAATTGTCTGTGGTACGTGAACTTAGCGAAAACGATTTTATTGCTGGCCGAAATGCATAAAAGGGCTACTTGAGAACTTGCCTGCCAATGTAGTCGTTTTTTTCTAGTGACGAAGGTCGATTAAACATTTCTGGCAGCGTAAACAAGCGAAACATGCGTTATTGGAGTGACAACGATCCGCGTGAATTCCATCAACGGCCAATTCATTGTGAACGCGTAACTGTGGCGTGTGCGGAGTCAAAAGTCGTCATAATTGGCCCTTATTTCTATGATGAAAACGAACGCGCAGTAACGGTGACTGCAGCTCGGCACAAGCAAATGAATGACACCTTTTTTGCCAACTGCCAGGAATGAATGTCAGAGATGTGTGGTTCCACCATGACGGAGCCACGGCCCACACAGCGCAATGTTCAATGGATCTTATGGGACAAAATTTAGTAGTGCCTAATCTTCTCGAGAAGGGACCATCTCAGGCCAGCCCGATCCCACGATTTAGCTCCGTGTGATTTTTTATGCGGTTATCTTAAATCAATTGTTTACAATGACTGTCCAAAGACCCTACCTTATATGAAGACCAACATATGCCAAGCCATCGCAAACACAAGTAACCATCATATGCTTCAGCGAGTTGAACGAAACTTTAAAAATCGACTAACTGAATGCATTGACAGCGAGGACCGTCATTTGTGTGATGTGATCTTTAAAAGTAAGTTATATAAAAATTCAGGTAAAATCTTTTTCAATAAAATTTTGATTGTAATGATATCTTTACTAGTTCTTTTTTTTAATGAGCTTTCATATCAGGAAGTTTCCGTAAATCACCCTGTACCTGAATGAAATGACCCTGCTCAGCTAAGTATCAAATTTCAAACAGATAATTAAATCGAATAAAACGTTCTCAAATAAAAAAAATTAAAGCCAAAATCATAGCAGGAGAGAAATAGCACAAAATTTTGAACGGTTGAAATACAGTTAGAATACTGTTCTTGCTGCCACTGAAGGAAAACAACTTCAAGACACGACACAACAAGCCATTGTTAAACAAGAGTATTCTCCTAATTGCAAACGTTTCAAACTTGAGATGTTGAATGCAAATATACTAAGCAGAACAACAAACTCCCGTGATTTTTGTAGACAATATATTCTAACTGGAATAGTATGAAATAGGGTATAATTAGAATTTCGCGGGAAATTTCCTCATTATTATCAAACATCTTCACCATTAGTCCTTTAATTCACTCAACATAGTTTCAGCAGAATTATTTTGGTCGAATTTCAATTCTTTCGTCCGAAAAGCCTTGAGATTCTTGAGCCTGAGAAGCTTAGTAGTAACTGTGTTTAACATACATTGAACGTAAGGTTGCAAGAATCAAATTAAAAAAAATGATTAGGAATAGGAATAAATAAGATAAGAATAGGGGGATTTGTGGGTTTAGAAGCGGAGTTTGAATTAAGGGGTGGAGCCCGAGCCGCCTAGCACGCATGCGCGGGACCGGGGAAGTATTTAATAGGAGCGAGCGGGCCACCGCGGGCAGTCGCGCGGCGGTGTTAGAGAGAGACGGACCAACAGTGAATGTTTAGGAACAATAGTGGTGTTCGTTATTTTCCTGAGTCACGACGTCTCTTCAGACAACTTCAGCCGACCGCGATATATATCACCGAGAAGAAAGGGAAAGTTCCCAAGTTTGTTTCTTCCTCCAGTTAGTTACCAACATGCTCTGGTCTAGAGGGCAGCAGGCAATGTCCGTAATGGGAATCTGTTAATGAAGCTTGTCACAGGAACATGATTGAGGAATTTTTTCTTTCAAGACTCAAAGAAATGAACATTAGGAATGTGTGATTTCAGCAAGACGGAGCCATAGCACACAAAGCACAAGACTCAATGAATTTGTTGCGACAACAATTGCCCGACCGCCTCATCTCTCTCCGAGGCGATCTCCAATGGCCGCCACGCTCTCAAGATTTGACTCTATGCGAGTTATTCTCAGGGTTGGTAATTTTTTTTATTTTTTTGGAAAATCAAATAAATAAAAAATTCAATGATTTTTTATTTTTTTCATGACTTTCTTATTTATTTGATTTTTTTTTTATTTTTTCAGCTTTTTGGCTTTTTGAAATGTTATTTTTTTTGTTGCAATCAGCCTACTAACAATAACAATATATGGATCAAAATGGATGGCTAAAAAGGGCACTTACTATCTTCAAGAATGGCCATGGTGGTGTTTCCCACTTTGGGACTTTTGGGTAAATAATTATTGATAAGTCTTTTCATTAGCTTTGTAAAATTTGTATGGAGCAAGGTAACAAGCTAAATATTGACCGTTTAACTGGTTTCAATATACAAAAACTTCAGGAATGCGGATCTTCTAATCATTGAATAGTCACATAACAGATATAAACATAAACATAACAGATATAAACATAACACATTTCTGGAGCAGATAGCACAGTGCACAATACTATCAATAGATCTACTAGTTTTATGTCCTATAAATCTACCAGACTCTAGGCTCTAAACACACCAACTAGTAGTGACTGAGTGACTGACTGCACTGTACCCATTTGATTCAGACCAATAAACCAATACTAAACATAAACTGAACGATAACCAAACAAACCTCAAATGACTTGAAACGCGAGCAATGTTATGAGAAAAGCTAACACTTTGAAATAAACATGTACACAATTCAAACATTTTATTTCCATTCACTGCATTTAATTATTTTATAAATAGTTTTATAATTGTAGTTGTTTTGTTTCTAGTATTAAATTGACATATTCAAAGATTGAAATTAAATATTTTAAATAGAATACTCATATTAGGGTGGAAAATCTTTCTAATTGCCTAACAGGTCAATACAATCTCAACCTCTCAATATACAGGGTGGGGCAGAACCAATTGAGCAGTTTTGAGGCGCAATAAAAGAGTAGTGGAGGTAAAGAATACTTGTGTTTTGAAAATAATATCTGGAAGATGGTGGCCATTAGCTGCAACACACTGTTGGAGTCATTCTCGGAGGAGGAAGTAACCGTGACAGTGAATTCAGAATGCTATGCTGCAATGTTGCAAAATTTCTTGCAGCCCAGGATGGAAAACATTGTTGAAAATGAAGAATTGGGAGACATGTGGTTCCAGCAGGATGGGGCTACAGCTCACACAGCCCGAATGTCACTCAATGTTTTGAAATGCGTGTTTCCCAGACGTATGAGGGGTGATTTACAGTGGCCTGCAAGGTCACCTGAGTTGAGCATTTGCAATTTCTTTCTTTGGGGACATCTAAAAGAGGGTTTTCAGAAGTTGCACTCACACCCTACCACTGCTAAGGGAAGGGATTATTGCAGCAGAGGTTATGGCCATACCTTGCCAGATGTGTGAACGTGCAGTAAGAAACTTCTGAGAACAGCTCCAACAGTGTGTTGCAGCCAACAGACACCATCTTCCTGATATGGTTTTCGAAACATAAGTATTCTAAATGGTGTGTTATGCTAACCTTGAGGAAAATAAACTTTCTTCTTTATGTACCTCCATATCTTTTTTTATTTTGCCTCGAAACTGCTCAATTGGTTCTGCGCCACCATGTATAAGCTAGCTAACACATTTAAATTGTATATTGTAATTAATATATAACAATTAGTCAAATAGTTAGTTAAAGACTACTTATAGCCTTATAAGAATTAGCTAAGCTGCTAGCTATGTACAATGTATTGCAACACTTGATGCCTCTGTACCAAAAACATCCAATTCATTGAAACCTAATACACACTAAAGGCAACAAGTTTATATTCCAATTTGTAATAGTACATTTATACTAAACCATGAATAACAATACCTCAAAATAAATTAAGAACTGCAACTCAATATATTTAAATATATAAAAAATTGAAAAAATCAAAAAATAAAAAAAATCATGATTTTTCATAAAAAATCAAATGATTCAATCACATGATTTAATCAGTTTGATTTAATCAATGCCAACCCTGGTTACTTTTATGGGGTAATTTGAAATCTGGTTTATGTCAATCAACCACGGACCATAGCACACCTCAATAACAACATTCGCGATGCCATTGCCAACATACCAATTGATATGCTGCAAAGAGTGGATACAAATTTCAAAAATAGACTTAATCAGTGTATGCGCCATGGGGGTTGCCATTTATC